TCATTAGTAAGGTACAGACAGTCAAGGGGGCTGGATTCCAGCCAGCGACAACACAGCAGTGACCTATAGTGACTGATGGCAGACCTGAGACTGACATGAGGCAAGTGAAGCTAAATGAAGAGCCCAGACCACATGCACGCCCCAACCCTCAGCTCTGCTGATGGCTAAGCACCCCACAAGCCCCTAGAACTTAAACACAAGTTCAGGAAAAGGCAGAGACAGGACTCCAGTTCAGATTACACTTCCGCCACCCTGTGTATACACTTCTGCCAGAATAGAAATTAAGGCGCTGGAGGAAAATAACAAGGTTTTCATTCCCTACACATGCAAGTTTGTACCCTGAGGTCCATCCTCACTTCTCGCCAAGCAGAGGGTGAGACATTAAGAGGCAGGTTTTCATTTGACCCTTACAATTATGTGCCCATGATAACTACTGTGCTACCCTAGTTAAGGGTGAGAAAAACAAGATCAGAGACATTGCACAGATCAGAGACATTGCTGAGTTCCTCAGCATCCAGCCACCCTTCTGGAAAACAGCCCTCGCTGTCTCAACCCACCCACAGTACACAGGCCATAGAAGCGTGACCTATATGGATTCAAATGGGCTTTATGGTTCTCTAAGAGTTTCTAGCTTCCCCTTTGGACTTGACCTTGACAGGGTGGGAGGATAAGACTGAAGCCAGGAGTAAGCAGACAATGGACAGAAAGCACTGGTTTGGGTGCGAAATCCAGCTGGGCCCAAAGCCACCCTTCTTTAGGAATTATTAATCTATGTTGTAATTGTTGGACACTTTTAACAATGCCAAATGGGTGATTTGAAACAACAGAAATTGTCTGATAATTCTGGAGGTTACAAGTCCAAAAATCATGGTGTGAGTCGGGCCACAGTCTCTCAGCTCGCAGGGAGGAGTCTTCCTTGGCTCTTCCAGCTGCTGACCTATCTGGGATATATCTTACTATATATATTGAATTTGCAGCTGCTGGGTGGCTGCTCTCTTTGGTCTCCACTGGCTCAAGTCGCTCCTCTCTGTCTCTGCTGCCAGCACCTGCCTCCTTTCCTGTGGGCCTTCACACTGTCTTCCCTCAGCTCACCTCTGGCTTT